GGGGGGAGAAGGAGAAAAAAAGAGGCAAGCAGAGATGTATAAACAAACAGATTGGGTAGCCTGGTAGCCTTACCATACCATACCCAACATGGGTGAAAAGCAGTAGATTAGATACAACACCCACTTTCAAGGCCTGGGCCATTCCATTTCCTTGGAAAAAGATCCTTAAGATAAGTGATAAAATGCCTATGTTCTAGAAGAAAACAGTGATCTATTGTTAGATCACTGACTTCCTATAAAAAGGATATGGAGCGCATTTTGCAGTGGCCTAGTTTTGAAGAGACAGCTTTTTCAATATCAGATTAGCTGTTCACATGAATAGTATTGTTCAAAATTAAAAAATTGCTTGAGACACTGAAAGCACTAAAGTATTGCAGTCTCTGCAGCTGTTCCACAAAAGATTTTTAATTTTTTTAATTTTTTTTTTTTTAAGAAATGTTCTCACCAAAATATGATCAGTACAATACATCAAGCTTCCAAAGAGCTGACAAGAAAATAAACGCTTTATTGCCTCAGACTGGACCAATAGTACTTATTTTCCAGGTCTCATGGCAAGTTACACTCGCACTGCATTCTTCCTACATTACACTGCTTTTTTACCCCCAGGTACTGAAATACAGAGAAAGAAGCAGTCTACTACCAATTCTTTTGTTTGCTTCTTTGTTTGTTTTTTTTTCTTTTAAATCAGAGAGCCTATCATTCTCTCAGTTATTACTTAAGTGATTCAAATTTAGAGTTTAAGTAGTTTTTTAAAAATTTATTTTAGCACGATGATAAATCACCAAGGTACAGATTGAAAACACAACATGATCAGGATTATGTATCCAAAAGCAAGGTCACACTTACTTGTAATCTTCATTTGCTGCAGTAAAAACAAAAGCTTCCATGGGGTTCCAACACAGTGTATTTGTCCTCATGTTCAAGATAACCTGAAAGATATTTACACATTGCTACCTCTGTCTAGATACAGAATTATGGCAGAGGAACAGTGACATGACAGAATGTTTTCTTAGCAGTGTTAGAATTGGAACTCAAGAACATCCCTCAGCATATGCTCAACGCTTTGTGCTACACAGCAACTAAATTCTCCCTCTATGAGTCACCTTACAAACAAGTTCTTCTAAGTGGTCCTTTAACATGTAAACATGTTAGTAGTCGATACATAAACCTGGAATTTCTGAAAAATTTAACGTCATCATATTTGTAGGAACCTTTAGTTAAGTAATCTATAAACACACCTAATTAAATGGTTATTTCAAGGGATATAGTAATCCACGGACACTGTGAAGCAGCATTTTCAAAGCTGCTGTAACATTTTGTTCTTCTCCCAGTTATTACTATCCCTTCATTATTTCACCTCTGAAATTACAGTTCATGAATTCTCCAGGACAGTTGCCATTTCTTATGTAGAAGTTACTGCGCTGTCATCTACTCGGCACTATCACTGTATTAGCATCGAACCATTTGCTACACATTCCTAGGATTTGCTTGCTGTTAGTAAGCAGATGGCTGCAAAGAGGCCAGTTTGCCTTGAAGTGGGAGGAAGGCAGCTGATGACAGCCTACTAGGACCCTTCTACTTTGCTAACAGTGGACTAGACAAGCAGCATTAAGAAGCTCTATGTCAGATGCCCCCACCTCGGAGGACAACTATGGCAGTAACAGCTGGGCCCCTGTGGGAGAAGGGGAGGCAGGGAGGAGGTCACCCGACACCCCGTGGACACAACAGCTTTGGCTTCTGCTGAGTCTTGGAGGAGCTTTCTACCATCGTATTTAAAAATAAATCCCACACTTTACACTTGACACAAAGTAAATGTACAGTTACAGAGCAACTTACTAACAAACTGAACAACTCTAAACAGGATTTTCTGCGGTGCTCCAGGCCAGCCATAATCCTACTTGAAAATCCTGAAATTTGGGTAGTTAACACTATGGCACTCTAAACCCATTTTTGTTCTCCACTAACTACACCAAACACCATGAATTTACATACTTATAGCAAAATATAGTTGTACAATTGTAACTTTCACAATAATGAACACAACCTCAAAGCAAGTTAATAGTGATGACCTCTGCTGAACACCCCAAAAAGACGACTGTGATTTTACGAGTGTAGGTATATTCTCAAGATTCTCATTCTCCCTAAGTCCTCATTTCCTAGGTGACATTACCCTGTTCAATATGAAGTCTGTGCTACAAAATACTGCTCATTTTCAGAAACTACATGCATCCAGAAGTGAATGTAATGATCAGAAGTCTAAAGTGATCTCTACTTTAAAAAGTGACTTTACTGAAAAGATAGGCCACTAAAAGGGCCTATGTTTATCGTAATGTGAAAACTAGAACTTGTTCAGATATCAGTACTGTTCTTCTAGTTATAAACCTTGCACATAACTAGGAAGCTAATAAACAAGAAGGGTTCTTTATTCTTCCCTGTCCAAGTTTTTCAGCCACTGCAAAATGAGGACACGATTAATGTTAACACATCACAGGTACAGCAAATATTTTAAATCATGCCACATAATAACTCTAATATTGCTGAAAAGTCCAGCTCTTTTTCAAAAGGGATCAGGTTTGGTCAAAGTCCATGCTCCACATCTTGCTTCATTAGTTTTTCACTGAAATTTACAAGCATTTAGTTTATTTCAGCACTGACTGAGAAAAGGTTTCTCTGTTCTAGCAATATATTCAGTAACAACTATGTAAGGCAACCTGGCCTAGAAGTGATTTATATTGCTGTAAATACATTAATAATGGCATTCCAAAAGTATCTAAATCTGTAGCAGAGTCATCTTCTGACACTATTCATTAATCAACTGCAGATACACTTAGTCATTTCGAAAGAAAAAGCCCTCATTAAGACAAGTCAGAGCTGTGAAGTCCCTGAAGACTTGGCTATCTTGGTTTATTTTAACTGTGAGCACTTGCTTACAAAAAGGTCAGCCCAGAGATTTTGAGATTACTTTAACACAAAACCAGATCACCCAAATAATTAATCTGTCCTCCTTTACTACCTACAAGGTATTTAGTTGAGGTGAACAGCTAAGAATGTTACAAGGAACGGACAACACAGTTGTTTAAATGTCAGCTGTTTAAATGCTAAAGTCTATCTTTAAAAGCTTTCCTGTGATCCCATGGTTTGCACAAGAACAACTTACAGTTTTAAAGCATACCAACTTCCATTAAAACATCTTCCTCTCGTCATGCAACGAGTGCTTCCCTTCATCTTTTCCTAGATTTTTTTGACTAGTTCTTATTTTGCCCTTCAGCAGCATCTCACCACCTTATCCATCCCTCTTTGAAACCTAAGACTTTGAAACTCAGACAGAACAAATGGCAAGAGAGCTAGTGCTTCACGATGCGGAAAGCTGTACTCCTATTTCCGGTAAGGAAGGGACTCCCACTGAGTTCCAAACCCAGAGCTGTCTGTGCGCTGCTTTGCTGATCCAACACCAAGACCACAGCAGCACTAGAAGCCAGTGCCCATACACTTCTGGAATGCCACTATCAATGTATTTACAGCAATATAAATCACTTCTAGGCCAGGTTGCCTTACATAGTTGTTACTGAATATATTGCTAGAACAGAGAAACCTTTTCTCAGTCAGTGCTGAAATAAACTAAATGCTTGTAAATTTCAGTGAAAAACTAATGAAGCAAGATGTGGAGCATGGACTTTGACCAAACCTGATCCCTTTTGAAAAAGAGCTGGACTTTTCAGCAATATTAGAGTTATTATGTGGCATGATTTAAAATATTTGCTGTACCTGTGATGTGTTAACATTAATCGTGTCCTCATTTTGCAGTGGCTGAAAAACTTGGACAGGGAAGAATAAAGAACCCTTCTTGTTTATTAGCTTCCTAGTTAAGGTGTCTCTAATAAGCAGCACCCTTCTCTCAGGAGTTACAGAGGTCTTGGCTCTCCACGCAGAAACGGACATTCAACCTGCCTCTCCACAGGAGAGCCATCCCTGTCCCAGCAGAAAACCCAGTACTGTATCCACAGATGCAAGGAAGTATCCATCAGGGTTTCGCTCCTATAGTAGGAAGTACACCTAAGCACGCTGCTCACTACACGGGACACACACATAGACGCACATGCGCACATACGTAGATGTGCATGTAGACTTTTATATATTTAGCACATACACATTTGAATTTATTTTGCAGAGGCTCAAACCACATTCTTTTAACTTATAACTGCAGACCTACAGTACTGGCTGCGTTCATTCCAACATTCAGGTCTCCAACTAGCATCACCGACAATTTTTTAGAAGCACCATCTCTGTGGCCTGAATGAAACTTCACTAAAAATTGTTGGGGCACAGGGAGAGAAAGAAATACTGCTGTTATGCCAACAACATTCCCATCTTATAACTAAGTGAAGTACCATTATACCGTTCCAGTGTGTATCAGACTAGTGTCATCACAGGTAGTACATAACATTCCAGAAGGATATTGAGTGCGTATTCACGAGACAGAATATTTTATTTCAAGAAAATTGTTAAGATAGTTTTGGGGCTCAAAACTACCTAATTTGATCAAGGTAAATGTATGTGTATGAATTACTGGCTATTTGTTTTAAATAAATACACATATTCTCTCAAAAGATAAATAGGAATCTTATTGGTAAATTCCACAATTTTGATTCCACTGCAAAGGATTTCTGAATGTTTATAATATAAAAAAAGGTGCATAGGTGAGGGTTTATCTCCACGCAGAAGAAAAACACGTTTTCAAGTGCAGAGCAGAGCTCTCCAGTGGCAGAAAGGAAATGTCTTAGGAGTTACCACGTTTCCTTCTGGCAAAGAGGAGAAAAAAAAAAAAAGAAAAAAAATCATACATACACAGACAGAATGCAATATAGGAACATAAAGTTCTTGTTGTGAAATTGCTGTCAGGTCAGGCACTTTATCAAGAATTATAACAGAGTGAGCATGACAGCCTGTTTGAATGCAGAAAAGAGCCCTTAACTCTGCACGGTTTAAATCCCAACATTAGTTCAAATTCAGTTAAAAGACTCCAAATTAGATTATGAAAACAGTGAACTCACCGTTCAGAGGTGTCTCTCTCTATTGTCGCCAACAGCTACAGACTACTTACATATTCAGTAGGATTATTAGTGGCATATGGTTCTGTTCAAAAGAAAAAATTACCTTCTTTAATGGAGTTGATTTTCTCATATCATATAGCACAATATTTCTGTCAGAAGCACAGCTTCCCAAAAGGTACGTCTGGGGGGAAAAAAAAGAAAGAAAAAAAAAAAAAGACGACCAGTGCATATTGTCTTCTAAACACTTGTAGAGCATGTTTAACAGCTTACATTAGATACCTAAGCTATTTCACAAAGCTGGTAGTCAAATAGTTCCTTTTTCAGTCAAGGAAATACATTCATCGTTCCTTCTGTGCAGCTTATTATTCAGCATAAATATTTTAAATAGCTTCCCCCGTAAGATTCAGAATCCACCCAGTCCTCTCTCTTTCAAAAGGAACAAGTAGTTCCTCACAAACACTTCATCTACGAACACAGCCCAGCCAAGAGGTATACAGGAACTGCTGTAGAAGATCGAATGCAATTGTTTTTTCCCACGGAGAGGGGGAGAAGTCTTGGTCACCCAGCAAACAGATGGGAGATCCACAACACTGTACGACTGAGGTATGGGATACGTACTGCTGTGGGCAGAATGAAAACCACCCTACTTTTCTTTCTCCTCTCCCCCACTAACAGAGACGAAAGATACAAAGACAAAAATATATGGTTCTACATTCCAAAGCAATATAGTCACAAAAACATACGCATACAACCCCCTAAATACTATGTTAAAACACATATCAAAAATCTAAATTTGGAAAAAGCCGTTAAAGATGGTGTTAATAGAGTTTAGATCTTCTACTGATCAAGAAAAATACTGATTTCCAATATGTCGCAGAAACATTACCTCAATGGGATTAAATTTTACACTGCTTATGCTATCGAAACCCCATGTCAGAGAACACATGGGACTTGTCCTTTGCTCATCCCAAATATCCACTTGATGGCCACAGGTGGCAAAAACAGCTTCCTTCCAATGGTGATCAATTCCTGTATATACCGTCTTTAAAAAAAAAAAAAATCCATTTACAAAACTAATTGTACACAGAAATATGCAAGTATGTTCTGATACAAAAAAGATCAACAAATCATGGCATATTGAGTCCGCCATGTTTTTATTCATTTATATTACTGAAAACCAAGTCACCACCACTACCAGAAACGAAGTCATATCAGAGGCACTCTTACACAATAGACTAGCTCTCTGTGTACTCACTGATGCATGCACCTCTTGTTAATTTACAATGGAGTCAGCATTGGAAGCCCATTAACAAAGTCCTGGCTGCCTTTAAAGCAAACGGAAATTTTAAGGCTACAATGACAAATTTTCAGTGAGGACCTGAACAGATTCCATAGACATTACAATAATTAAAGAGTTTCAAACTATCTATTTACAAAAAGCATTTAATGTTTTTCTTAAAATAAGCTTATCATAAATTCAGAGTGCTGAAGTATGTATTTTTAGTCTGCTTTTGTCAAAAAGACATAAAAGTTAAAATTTTGTATTGAATGGCTGCGAGGTATTGTCATGAAAAGGAAGTTTTTTAATGCAGACTAAGCACTGACAATGCACATCTGAAGAGAAAGAGGCTACAGAAAGATCTGACCAGTTTGCAGGAAAGGGTTGATTAGCAGTCACAGAGCTAAGCAGTCTCTGATGGCATTTGAGATATTCCTTTCTAGTTACATGTAAGATAAATGTCATGAAAAATTGAAGATACTTTAAAAGCGCCATTATAAAATCTGATGCCATCACCTTACAACCCATTATGATAACAGGTGACATCAAACTATTTCACTCTCCTCCAAAAGCTAGGTAAGAATTGGTTCAAACTTAATTCAAAAGAAGAGATGTGGGAAAATCCAAATTTTTACCTTTCCAAGAATTGTATGAATAGGTTCTTCTTCTTCTCCATACTCCGGGCTCTCCATTTTCCACTGCTTCACAGTTTTGTCATCACCAACCTAGAAATATTGAGAAAGCACGTACAGTTTTACGTAAATATATTCTGTTTACTTCACTAGATGTGCTTTGCAATTAAGTACAGGCCGCCTTTTGAAAGAGTATACTCTATGACAGACACAGAAGTAAAGTGCTCTCCCCTGCCTATTCACTGTTCCCTTTCATAGAATCAGAGAATCATTTTGGTTGGAAAAGACCTTTAAGATCAACAGGTCCAACTATTATCCAAACATTACCAAGCCCACCACTAAACCATGTCCCTAAGCACCACATCTATTCATATCTCCAAGCTGAAGACTAGTTCCCCTTGTCATAATATTTCGCTAGAAACTGAGAAGGTATAGGTACATTGTCCGGCTGGAATGGGGTTAACATTCTTCGCAGCAGCCTGTGCGGCACTGCGTGCGGGATCCGGCACTGCGTGCGGGATCCGTGGCTGAAACAGTGCTGATAAGGCACCAGTGCCTTGGCTATGGCTGAAAAGTGCTCGCTCAGTGTCAAGGCATTCCGCCCCACCTCCCCACTGTCAGTCACCATCCCTGCCTCCCCCATCAGCAAACAGGCGAGGGGCAGGCAACAGACTGGGAGGGGACAGATGTCCTGAATCAGCCAAAGAAGTATCCCATACCATATAACACCATACTCAGCAATAAAAACTGGGGTAGCAGAAGAAAGGGGAGGTCAGGGCTGGCTTCCAAAGCAGCTGCTGCTCAGAGACTGTCTGGGGATCTGCTGGCTTGTGAAAGGAGGTAATTGATTTCCTGTTTCCCCACCACCACCACCACCTTTCCTTCACCTATTCAACTGCCTTCACCTTGATCCACAAATCTTTTCCATTTTTCAAGAGAGATACTTCCAGGGTCAAATAGGAAAAAGGTGAGCTGGAATGATGACTTTTTTTAGGCTACATTTTGTGATTCTTAATCACAAAACTTAAACGTTAAACAGCAAATTATCTTCCAGAAGTCATTTTGATGAGCATGTAAACAGTTAAAAGGCACTTTCCACCCCAGTTGCTCCAGTCGCCTGTTCCTAAAGCCATGCTACCCCTTGCACTATGCCAAGACAAGCTTTTGCATGGCTGTGCAGTGACCTGGATCAGGCAAACTGGCCAAAAAACACATCAGCTATGCAAGTTTAACTTCCTCTCCTGACAGCACTACTACTGTTTCTTCTTCCACTCTCTCAATTTTCAGGCAGAGTGATTGTCAAAAGAGGCTTTTAATTTGGAGTCACTTCAAATTTTTTGCCATGACTTCCCCTACATCCTAACTATTGTCCTCATGACCTGGTATGTACTTCAGGAAAGATAAACATATAGGAGTGAAAACAGCTCTTCCATGCACAGCTCAAAAGAAGCAAAACCTCAGGCCACTCTAGTCTTCAAAACCAATTCTTTTTATTGTATCATCTCCAGAGAAATTCTAGGCTTGTAAGGTTTGACTTAAGCAAAGCAAAGCACCATGTTTCTCACGCCCTGGATAGAGCAAGGACAAGAGCTGAGCAATTTGCTCATCTGGCAAAAAGGATAAGAATGCTGGTATCTGCTTCTCCCTTCTACAAACCTTGCGAGGGGAGAGAACAGCTGAAAGAGGGAGCCTTGCAGCGGCAAGACAGCTCTGTTTTGGCTAAAGAGTGCAGAAAAAGTTCCAGCACAAAACTCTGAAGGCTACAATGCCCTGGAGTGAAACTTTTGCTTGATGATCTAGAAAATTCATACTACAGTTAACACCCCTGCTTATGTTAATGAGAACTATAGAGATCATGCTATACATATGTGACTACGCTACCCAACTCTCCGCTTAAATCATGCTATACATAACCCATGGGAGGTGAAAAAGAATTAGAGAATAAAAAGAGAATAATGGGTAAAAATTGGGAGAAAGGGACTGAAGATCAAAGACAGTCAATGGGCTGTGCAACTCTTCCTCCAGCCAAGACAGGGATGCCTTCTTGGTAAGAATCGCGCCTTCGCCCCGGCAAAGAATACCCGGGAAAACTTGGCCAGCGTTATCACAGCACACTAGCATGACTGCAGTCAGCGCATATACCGACAGCAATGCCGTACCGGCTATATCTGTCACCTCAATAAATTACCTTTATTTGCAACTTTGTGAAACTCTTTCGGCGAAAGTCCCTGAGAGGGCTCTGACAGGCAAACATCACATCCTTGCTCTTAACAGGACAAGTCGTGTTAAGAGCAAGGATGTGACGTTTTCTAGACTGTTTACATGCAACTGAATCAGCTGTGGTTGATGTAAGTTAATAAAGCTTAATTAACATGTAACCATCTTGACTTAATCAGCTTATCTTTAATCACAGTACACGCAAATGGTTACCTTTTTAAGTGTTTGCACATCTTTCAAACAACATAATCTATCTACTATCTTAATGAAAACTAATTTACTCAAGTTTTAGTTACATGACCATCCGTCAGCAATTTTCTGGTATTTATCCCTTCCATAGTCTTGAAAACACCCATACCACAGCATCAGAAAAATTTTCATCAGAAATAGAATTGTCAGGTTCTCTGACAAATTTAACAAACATGTTCATACAATATTTAAATATTGTATGGCAGACAGGAAGTTGCTCACTGGAAAACAGATGGTGGACAGGCACTCTGTACTGCAACACTGTACTAAGGAGACACATCATACTCACGGTAAAGAACGATGTACCACAGAAACGAGCACACATGCCTCGAACAAAGCCTTCATGGGCTTGTATAGTACGAATACACTGTCGTTTGGTCAAGTTCCAAATTTTAACCTGTTAAAAACCAAAAAGTATTCTGTTATTTAAGTTTTTTACAGCCCACAACGGCAGTTCGTAATTCAAGTACAAGAGATCACATATGTTGTAATGAAATGGCAAAGTAGGCCTGAACACAGGCCAGATTTTACAGTGTTAAAAGCACTTAATTATTCCTTTCTTGAAAAAAAAAAAAAATTTAAAGTGCAGCTCTTTCCTTCTTACCCCTTCCCCCCACGCAACCTGTACACTTACTGTATTTTTGCATTCCTCTTTTAGCAAGAATTCTAGTTCAAAAAAAGACAGCAGCAGTGATAATTTTAGAAGAAAAATACCTCTCAAGAGAAAGCACAAGGAAATAGTCTTTGGAACCAAAAGAATGGTTTTGGTCCAGTTGCTGTACTACATTTCATACATATGCTCACCTCTCACAGAGCTTTGAGTTTCAAAGCTTTTGGACCCATTTAAAAAACAAAAATGGAGGTCAGTCTTTATATCTGTACATATTTACAATACCCAGTACTTTACTCGCTCTATCAGTGGATAAGAAATCTGGCCAACGTTTCATGTAAGTTTATCCCCCTCCTCTCTGAAGAGATTCATCTCCCTTACACTACTGCACGACACACGCACCTTCTATAAAAAGCAGAAAGCAACCGCCTACCCAGAAGACACCTTTAAATATACAAGTACTATCAAATGAACAACGTAAAGGTGAGAGAGGACAGAGAAGACAGAAGACAGGCATTTTGTTTCTGCAAGTGACTCCAATTAAAGTGCCCTTGCTTGCTATCTGCAATATTTCTGTTAAACAACAAATACAAGGTTAGCATCTTTTAGGCAATATGATAAATTATTACTCCAAAAAGTTTTTGGTTGTGTGCCCCTTCCCCCTAGCTCATCTGACTTCACATAATCTTCTTAATCTGCAGTAGTTTAACTTCTTCAAGGGGGGGGGGGGGGGGGGAGCAAAAAGCCATCACTATGGACTGTAAATATTAACATTCACTGCTCCATCCCGAGGAACTGAATGTCACCCCCTCAGCTCACAGCTGAAAGCTGCTGCCTTTGTGTGCTGGGCAATTACAACCCGCAGTTTGAGAAACACTGCTGCAGACTGGGTGAGCTGCACCTTCTGAGTGAAGGGAGGGCATCCTGC